ACTACAAAGGGAATTCACCAACGCAGAAGAATAAAAACCTTCAGGGGACAGATTCTGCTTCAGAATAGGCAACAAAGAGAGAAAATTATGTTACTGATTCTTAAAAGAATTTATGCAGACAATGAATTCTGTGGACCAGGAAGTCTTTAATCTAAGTCATGCTTCAATAACAGGGCTAGGGTTCTAAAATACGACCACAAATCATATTTGTCACTTGCAGTCACCTAATTAAGAACTATACCAGTTCATCCTCACTCCCAATGTAACAGCTTAATTATTGTATTTACTGTAATAAAGAAATATACATTTTTAAAGAGTTGTTCAATGCAGCTTAGGTGAATCACCTATATAATATTGCTAACCAAAAGCCCTATTACAGCATGGCCTTATATTTATAGGAGTAAAACAAATTTCACCGATACAGAGCCATTCGTTCACATTTCATTGCTTAAAAGCATCAAGACAGTTGAGACTGTGGCATCAGGCAGAGCAAAAGAGCATGAGCTCAGCCTTTACAGTTGCAAGCTCATGCTGAAATTAAAAGGAAACAAATCCTGTGCTGTAACCCTTTTTTCCCCTCCTCAGATGTACAGGTCTCTATGAAAAACTGCTTCTTCTGAACCATCCTCTGCTTCTCGGCACCTTGTTTGCTACACGCACGTTCAATTTTCTGTTGAAACAGCTAAAACAGAAGAAAAGCTTGGCTCTCACATTAGCCTTAATAGAAGGTCACAGATGAAAGCAGTGCTGCCACTAAGAGGAAGCAGACACAAATCAGGCTCTCTAAACCAGTTCTCCAAATCACATCTCCTTTTTCAAGCCAATGTATACCCTGCAGCTGTGCTCGCCAGAGAGTTAACTGATGCTTTTAACTTTCTGCATAACAGAAAAGCTTTTGAGGAGCACAGTATTACAGCATTTAGTTTTTCTAAATCAAATCCCTACAATCACAAACAAGAGAGGGGGAAAACAGATATTAAAAGGTACAAGTGGAGATTGTCCGTAAAGCTTTACAGAAGATGGTGGGCAGATGGTAGGGATTTGCAGTGACACAGCTGTTTTTAAAAATAAAGAGGTGGAAGGGGAGAAGGCACGATTACAGCTCCACACACATTCCTAAGCCTGTTCACACAAAAATAAAAATTAAGCTAACAGTGGGAAAGTGAAGTTGGTATATTTTTTTGTCATCTGAACTGACATTTAGAAACTTTTTCCAATAATCAGCAGCACCTTCAAGTTTTTCAGTCATTAGTTTTCTAAGTAACTACGAAGTAAAGTTGACAAGAGACATACAACCTACAATGACATATTAAAAAGACAGTGTCAAAATTACTTTCAGTGCCTCCAAATACCACCCATTTTTGCTGTAAGCCTTTAAATATAGAAAGAAAATTCTATCATATCAAATAAACAACATAAATTGTGACCTGTTTGAATTTCCTATGATAGGCTTTAATTTTTCACTGTTGTATTTTTTTCAGCTATTACTGGTAGATGGCAGAGATAAACAAGGCAAGGAATAGTGAGCAATAGGGGTTATTGTAGATTTAACAGCACGGGGGGGTGAGGCAGGGAAATCCCCAAATTCCATAGAGTATCAAGCACTGGATGTCAATATCGTAAGAACAGAACATTTTTAACTAAGCAGTAATTTGTATAAAGATACTTAAATTCATAGAGACCTTTCACTCATTTTTAATGCTTATTCTCATATACGTCTCCTCCAGCCACATAGAAAGCTTTTGTTAGGTAAACACTGAAAAGACTGTTAATCTACAGTGTGAAACCCTGTCTTCTCCAGAGAATCCAATGTAGCTGTTTCTTGACAGCTTTCTTTACAAAATTAACTCTCTTCCAGCTAAGCTAATCCTACATCCAAGAAATTTTACATTAACAGGAGAGCTACCACTGATACCAAAAGGATTATCTTTTGATCATTCTTCATGATCACCTTTTTCACACTGCACCAGCTCACTTTCTTCCAAGCATTAAAAATTACTTGTCAGTGTATACACACTTTTTCCTACCTTTTTTTTTTAAAAAAAAAATAAATCTAATTTTCTGAACATATGAGCTGGGACCCAACACAACACCAACCAGCACCAACCCACTAAAAAAGTCTTTACACCCATCTCCAAAGCCACCGGTGCTGGCTTTTGCTACAGCTGGGTATTGAACTGAATGGGCTGGGAGTGAAACCCGCTACAAAAACGTGCATATCCCACACGTTTCCTCCATGATCTCTCCTTTCACAGCCTCTGGGCTGCTCCCAAACCAAAGACAACAGCAAAGTGACTGGTGTAGGTGCTGCCTAGCACACAAACATACTCAACATCTGAAGACATTTAAATTATTTTTATTTATACCAGGTTTTCAAAATCAGAAATATTTCAAAGAAATTCAATACTTATAGACAGGTGCTACATTGATGATCTCTCATCCACCATTAGTGCCATGTTTTCACTCTACAGTCATTAACTTGCCACCACAAACTAAGGGGAACTTACAGAAGTTTATAAAAAAAGGCAGACATGAAAATTTGGTTTATACTGAAATTGGCATAAGAGAGTAAAGCTTATTACCAAATTGTGGCAACTGCTGTATTCCATCACTTGTTCTGAGGGAACAGTACAACAGAAAAAGACTCTTTCAGTTAGAGAAACATTTTGGGTTTTAACTGAACATCCTCAAAATCCACTTCATGATCTGACTAGGAGTGATTCTTACACTCACGTCAGTATAAATTTAAACTCTGCATTTCTAAAATCGCCACAAGCGTAAACCTCACCTACTCACACTAGTCTTGGACCGATTTCCCTTTCTTTCCAGAGAAATCAAAGCCCTATGTCTATACCTCTTCCAGGATCTACCAAATCAAGCGAAACAACTGCTGGTTTGGAAGTCTTTTTTTAGAAGAACAATGCCCTTTCTGCACAACCTCCTCTCATGAAAATTTTATTTAATATTTCTTCATCAATAAAATAACTGAAGCCAAGATACCCAAAAGTCACATCTACATGGAGATACACAGAAGATATTCAACTTGAGAGGATTTTCCTCCACTTCTCGATCACAATGAGGCCCTCACCATTTTGCATAATGACAGAAAACAACAGCTGACAAACCGTTTTGGAACAGATGCCAGCTGTCTCTCATTTGTTTTATAATTCAAACAGTAACAGTTCTGTAGCACTTCATTGTTGGTTTGTTTTTTTTAAAGCCAGCCATCTGAATTAGACCTTGCATCAGTCAGCCAGTCAGTCATTTCAAGAGCACACTGAAGGCAGACTGATCCTTTCAGACCCAAAACTTGGTTTTATAGGAATCTTACATAAATAGAGTTTGTGCTTCAATTTTCTATCTACTTGGACTGAGTGAATATACACCTAAGCTAGTTTATTTAAAAAAAAAAAAAAGTAACCTGTAATATTCAACTTAGAAGCCACAGGCATCTTCCCAGACTGCAGCCGAGATAAACAATAAATTTAAACACAGTACTGCTTAAAAAAAAAAGTTTACTGTCTAAAATGAAAGTCAAATGGTTTATTAAAATTTAACATCTTCAGTTTTGGCTTTTTCTAAAGAAACCATTTATACCTTGTGAAAATCAGTTAAAAGAGCATTTCATTGTACTGTACTGAACTCAAGTCAAACATAAAGCACAAAGTAGATCTTTACATTAAATTGGGCTTTGCACACAATGTGAATAATCAGAAATAAAGAGACTATTTTCAGGAATAAAAAGATTTTTTTTTTTTAATCTAGACAACATGCATACCATCAGTTACTTCTCAACCTTAAAAGGTACCTGAAAGGAGAGTTTTGTAGAACAAAACCAAGACTCATTAATACACTTAGTAATACTGTCAGTGGTCATCATGCCTTTTTACTTATATTCTAATAAAATTTAGTCTACATAGAACAGCTAAGACAATGAGGTGTGCAAGTTAGGGATAGCCAGAAGCCTGAAACAAAGTCTTAAAGTTCTACAGGAAAGAGAGCCTAAACACAGTACCGCTGGGTTATTTAAACTATTAAAAAAGAAAAAAGGAAAAAAGAAAAAAATATTTTTATTATTCTCTGCTTCCTTGCTGAAAAAGGACTATGGACTCAACACAAAGGGCCCGTATTTAAAAGCTCCACAGTTCCGCTCTACCAACTTTTTAAAATAAGGTAATGATAAAGAGCATTCCTTCTAGCAGCATGTACAGTTCAGCTGCAAGTGGCTGCCTAACCGCGCTCCTTTACGCATACCAGGAGAATCATGTCCAGTTTTGCCATTTGTGGATAACGATGACAAGATACAAAAGCATGTGTTTGCCATAAATAGCTCTGGCTAACGGAGGATTGCTCACACAGAGCAGATCAAATTCTCTATAAGGAGAGCATTATTTGGCTCCCCTCCAAAACACGTCCCCAATGCAAGCCTCCTTAACGGCAAACACTTTCCAGTTCTATTTACATAGAAGCTAACAAGTAGAACGGTTCATTTAGGCCGTTTCTTGTACCAAGTCAGTCTTAACTGCAACACTCAAGGAACAAAAATTATACACTGGATTCATAGTTGCATATCATATAACTGTCATTACAGATCATCTCACCGAAAAGGCTGGCGAGCTGCAAGATTCTGTGCAAGGTTTCACTCTGACATGTAGAACTTTAAGAGCGTTCAGGTACGAAACACGCTGCGTGGTTAATTACTTCGTATTTTTACATTTCTGACACAAGTGTTTGATGGAACTAATAGTCTCTAGTGGTGGTAGCTTCTCTACTTGAACGGTAAACTAGGATCAGGTCCTTTATCAAATGATCAGAACAGAGCCACAAAGTATTGTAAAGCAGTGCCTAAATCATGATCAGGAATGAAAAACTTGCATTATTTAAGATGAGATTAATGATTGTTTATCTTTACAATACTTTCCACAGAAGTTAAGTTATTTGAAATATGCTTAAATTAAACATACTTAAAAACTATATTTTCCAATGAAAACAAGGCAACGTTCTGTAATAAGCCACAAGTTTTATTGCAACGTGGCCAGTTTTTGATCTCAAAAAACAATGTTCCATTTAAGGCTCTTTTTAATACAGAAATTGCCACCATGACTGATGTTTTACAAAACTTTAGTGTTTCAAGACTCACATGGTAAACAGATAACTTCTACTCCTGTTCAGTAGTGTACATTCAATGGAAAACAAAAGGCATCGTAACAGCTACTTCATTTATAAAGATATGCATGTAACAGGAATGAAACTGAGGTACTACAATAATTTGATGACACAGTTACAGCAACTTAATTGGCATTCCTTTGGAGGGGAGGGGCGGGTCAAACATATTACAAAAAAGTGCTTTAAATGCATAGTGTTGTGTGCTGCCATGTCACAAAAATAGGCTTGTCAAGGCAGGTGAGGTGTATGAATGCACAAGAGCCTCATGGAACTGCAATCAAGTGCAACTGTAAGTAATACTGTATAGAGTCTACCATCCGACCAGTGGACAATACTTTCAAGGCATTGAATTAGCTTACCCTTTGCTGTCTGCTAGACTATTCACATTAACTATCACATTCATTGTACATGTTGCAAGGAATGCCTGCAACGTCAGTTTTGGCTAAGAGTATGACGTGAAAGCATTCCTTGGATCCTACATAAAACTACCAGGATTAAACAGTCTAATGGCAATCACTGGTAGACTGCTTAACAATGACATCTCCTTCAGGGGCATTAGGGAAGGGACTTATTTTTTGAGGAAGGAAGGGGATGGGGAGACTAATACTATTCCAATTGAACGAGCTGCAGAAATGGAAGCTCCTTAGATCCAGATGGCACTTGTCTGTCTTTTTTTATAAGGGTTTTCCTTCAAGTGAAACTACCACGTTGCCTCCCAATTTCTCTCCAAGTGTTGAACGGTCCTTAATATCATCCAAACCATTTACTTGCCACTCATGTTTAATACCTGAAAGACAGAGGAACAATGTACTTGTGAGAACCTCAACATCTAAATGGCATCATAATTAATAAGCAAAACATTTTTAGGTCTGTACCTGTAAATTTCTTTTTAATGGCATCTTTAGAACTTGCATAGATCATCTTGCTTTTTAAAGGTGCACTTTCAGGAGCCCTTTAAAGAAAAGGAGAACACCACAACAAGACAGTTATTCAGTCATTCAGTGTTAACTCCAGAATACCGAATTTTAACAGCAAGCTTTGCTTTTACACACCAGAATATAAATACCAGGTCTTCTTTCTTAGATTCCTTTGTCTCATATGTGGCATCGTACAAAGCGTATCGGCAATCGTTCAAAGGTAGCAACTTCACAAAAGCTGTATAGGGGTCCTCCACAGTATCTCCAATGTCACCGACCAGTATCTGCTTTGCCTCCTCTACAATTATTTGTTTTTTGTCATCACTTAAGCAGAAGAGAACGGCTTTCTTTCTTTTTTTAATCTCTTCTGGGGTCGAAGATTTCCTTACTTTCATATCATTAAAAACCTTTATGACTTCATCATTCACTGTTACTCCAGAAGCCTGTAAAATGAGATCAAAGGAATAATTTAAGCAGCAAAAATTAATGCTCACTAGAAAAGACGAGAGCCCACAGTGCTAGATAAAGAAGTCTGCCTGCCCCCTTAAGAATAAAAATACTATACTCAACCTGAACACACTATGAATTCAGCAATCTTTGCAGGGCTGGAGCAGAAGATATAAAGGAGGTGTAAATTCTATACTGTCTTGTTGCAGATCTCAGCACCTGCAGCTGTGATTCTGGATAGCAGTTTTATACAACTAGGCACACAACTGTACTACTCAAGCAGTTTTCCATTATCATGCATTTGGCTTATCTGGGGGGAGGAGGGGAGCGGGGGGAGTGGGGAGGTGGGAAGGGAAGATAGGAGAGGAGTTTGTAGGTTTGGGTTGGGATGGGGGGCGGGTTTTTTGTTCTTTTTTTTTTTTTTAGT